CCATTTGATTTATTCAAGAATTAATTGAATTCATGTATGTATACTTTCAAGGTGATAAAAACTTTTTTGAATAACTATGTATCTACTAGTTTGGTGACCTTTGGGAGTGATATCTCAACACTAAAAATAGAGATATCATTCACCATTTGGAAGACACTTGAATAGAAGAAAAAGTTTTCTACTTCATCTACTTATGTTGTCTACTTCTCTTTATAGTTATATCATTTCGATCTTGATTTTATAACACATTATCAACATGAATATGCTCTAAAATGGTAGTACTTCTCAAAAGAGTTGTAGCTGAAACACTTGTGAGCAGGAACAAGTTCTATCTATTTTTTCTTGTTACACATTTATATTTTCAAAAGTTCCTCTTATACTAATAATTTATTTTAGTATATATGATCTATACGAAGAGGTAGTGAAAGTGAGTTCGACAAGGAGTAGGAGTCCATACAGGAGTCTTGTATAATAGCTATAGGAGTCCTATGTTTAGTATAATACAAATAACTTTCTCGTCTATAAATATGAATATCCAGCTGTGTATATGCAAGAATAATAATACAATATTCATCCTTCTTTCTTGAGCCTACGTTTGCTAAAATTCTTCATGGTATCAGAGCGTTAGTTTTTAATTCAAAATTAATATGTATCCTACACCCCGTATCACGCACTAATGGCAAGTTCATTATCTTCCGACCTCTCTCTCTCACCCGCCTCCCTACATAAACTCATAGCCATATGTCCTATAAAATTAAAACCTTCAAACTACCTAGTATGGAAAACTCAAATTACACAATTGATGCAGGCTTTGAAAGTTGGCGGGATTATTGTAAAAAGGATCCACCACCATCAGTTGTAGCAAACGAAAAAGACGAAGAGATATCAAATTATAAGTTCCTTGAATGGGAAGAAAGGGATGTCTTAGTTCGAAATTGGCTCCCCAGAACCATGACTGAGGATTCCATGTTCCTCATCATTAGATGCACATCAGCCAAACAAATTTGGCAAAGTCTCAAGGACAATTACCTACAAGCTAAAAAGAAAGAGAAGAACTGGACGCAAATGAACTTGTGTTTATTGATTATTGTATTGGCCTTTTATAAAGCCAGTGTATTACATACAAGGCTGAGAATAAAATAACAACTTAGAGAAACCTACGTAATTACACTTCTAAATATAAAAAGGCTGATAAGCAAAATAAAAAGAGTCATATTAGTGAGAAGAGTCCTATAGGTAACAACAGTCTTAGATGCTAGCCGTTATTATGCCCTTGCAAGTTGGTGTCGAGGTTTACTACACCCAACATGGAGAAATGGTTACCAAAAAGTGCACGCGGAAGAGGCTTTGTAAGAAGATCTGCAACTTGATCAGTAGCATGTAAATGGGAAACTTCAAGTTGTTTGCGCTCAACCTGCTCACAGACAAAATGGAAGTCGATGGCCACATGCTTCATGCGGCTATGGGAAACAGGATTCGCACAAATATAAGTGGTGTTGATATTGTCACAGAGAACTCTTGGAGCAGCAGTCAGAGGAAACTGAAGTTCTTGAAGAAAATTGGTGAGCCAGTTAGTTTCAGAAACAGTAGCAGCAACTGCCCGATATTCTGCCTCTGTAGAAGAACGGGAAACTGAACGCTGCTTATTTGAAGACCATGAAATAGGGGAACTACCAAGATAGATAACATAACCAGCTATCGATGTGCGATCATGAGGATCCCCTGCCCAGTCTAAGTTAGAGTACGCGAGCAACCTACGATCAGTTTCATTGGCAATGAGCACACCAAAAGAGGTAGTTGAACGGAGATAGTAGAAAAGTCGTTTAAGAGCAACCCAATGAGACATAAATGGTTGATGCATAGCTTGGGACAACTTGCTAACAACAAAAGCTATGTCCGGACGCGTGAATGAAAGGTAATGAATCTTGCCAATAATGCGCCGATATAAGGAACCATCAACTAGATGATCATCAGGCGATGGATCAAAAACTATAGTAGATGTCATAGGTGTGGAAACACATTTGCAGTTATCCATAGCTACCTCATGTAGGAGATCCATAGTGTACTTCTCTAGAGAGAGCAGGAGACCAACAGAAGAACGAATCACTTCAATACCAAGAAAGTAAAGAAGAGGTCCTAAGTCCTTTAGTGAAAAACGCTGAGAAAGAGCCTCAATGATATAATGAACACCTCGTTGGTGATTACTTGTCACTAAGATATTATCCACATAAACTAAAATATACACAGTGAGCCCAACTTTATGCATAATGAAGAGTGAGGAATCAGAATGCGACTTAACAAAACCCGAAGTAAGGAGATAATTTTTGAGTTCGGTGTACCAAGCACGAGGAGCTTGTTTGAGGCCATAAATTGCCTTCTGAAGACGACATACATGGGTAGGATTCCCAGAGTTTTCAAATCCCGGTGGTTGTCGCATGTTAACTTCTTCAGTTAGACGACCCTGCAAGAAGGCATTGTTAACATCCAGCTGATGGACATGCCAATCAAGTTGAGTGGCGATAGTTAGGACAAGACGGACAATAGTAAGCTTGACTACTGGACTGAAAGTGGAATGATAATCAAGTTCGGGGAGCTGTGTAAATCCCTTGGCAATCAAACGAGCCTTGTACCTATCAACATAATCGTTAGGTTTATGTTTAACTCAGAATAACCACTTACAATCCACCACGATTTTGGAAGAGTCACATAAAACCAAATCCCAAGTATGGTTGCGAACAAGAGCATCAAATTCGGCTTGCATTGCTGAATTCCATTGGGGAATTAACTTGGCTTGCTTATGAGTTATGGGGATTTTCGGTGACAATGTAGTGGTTGTGAGAAACTGACAAGGTTTAATGCTATGAGTTTGTGATCTAGTAGTCATTGGGTGTACTTTGGTGGCTGGTTGGTTTGGCCGGGTTTGGGTTGGTGGGTCAGGTTGACTAAGAGTTGATGCTGGTTGAGACGGGCAGGAAGTCATATGTGGCTGATTTTGTGTCGAAGCAGATGGATTATGAGGAGGACATGGAGTTTGGCTAGGAATGGGTGGTCTTTCTTGTTTATGATACGTGATAAGTGGCCGTGAGGGCAATGGTTAAGGTGCTGCAAAAGAGTTAGTTTTATGTTTGTGTGGAAAATATGAAGAAGTGGAAGTTGAGACAGGAGGAGTATTACCTGATTGTGTAGAGACACCATCTGGAGCGGAGGAGATAGCTTGCAAGCGTTGAGTGACCGTGGGTAACGTAGTTACTGGTGGGGAAAGTTCATAAGAGGAATGCAAAATTGAATTAGATTCCTTTCTGGATTGTTGTTCAATGGAAATGTTATCCCAAGAAACATTAACTTTATTACAGAACCTGGAAAAAATATTTTGAAAAGGAAAATTGTCTTCCAAAAACATTACATCCCTAGATAAATATAATTTGGAGTTAACTAGATCAAAACATTGATGGCTATAATATTTGTTAGAAAATCCTAAATAAACACATGGGGCAGATCAAGGTTCCAATCTATTTCTGGAATACGATTTGAGCCATGGATAGCATAAGCAACCGAAAACTTTGATGGAATCATATTTAGGCACAACCTGAAATAGGATTTTAAAAGGTGATTTATTTTGTAGATTGGGAGTAGTCATCCTATTGATCAATTAAACAACTTGATGACATGCATAACTCCAAAACGTTGAAGGTAAGGATGCTTGGTGTAGTAAGGTGCGGGCTGTCTCGATGACATGCCAATGTCGGCGTTCAACAAAGGCTACCCTTTGTGGCGTGTATGGGGGACACTTAGTGTTCAATGCCATGTGTTTTTAGACAGGAATCTAATTTTTGAAACTCACCACCACCATCAGTATAAAAGGATAAAATTTTTGTGCTAAAGTTTTTTTCAAGCATGGGATGTAAAGTTTGGAAGATTTCTTGAATTTCAGTTTTAGCTTTTAGTGTGAGCAACCACATATATCTTGAATATTGATCAACAAATAAAACATAGTATCATTTTTTGTCAATCGATAAAATCGGAGACGACCCCCACAAATCACTATAAAGTAAATTTAATGGATTGACACTGTGCAAAGAACTTTTAGAAAAAGGCCTCATGTGGCTTTTATCAGAATAATGTGAATGACAAACAATACTATTTTTTGAACCAACAACTGGAATTGAAAAATCTTGCAAAAACTTATTTAGAACTTGACGATTAGGATGGCCTAATCGTTGATGCCACATGTAGTAAGGAACAACGACGTTGCATTGTGGCAGACCATCAAAATCCCCTGGTGGCCACTCATACAACCCATTTTTACTCCATTCGTGAGCCAATGGCGCCCCCGTAGTCAGATCCTTCACAAAGTAAGAAAAAGGAAAAAATTCCATAGATGAGTTATTATCTTGACAAAATTTAGAGATATATATTAGATTATTTGTAATAGCTGGAGACAAAAGGACATGTTGAAGCTGGAATTAGTGATTTGATGCATTAAAGTTCACATTACCAGTATGAGAGATTGGAATGGTATTACCATTACCTATGACGATCTCCTCCGAACCGTGGTAGTCTTGCGTAGTAGTTAGACTTTGTGTGTCTGAGGCAATATGGTGGATGGCACCACTATCAACAATCCATGGAGCTGACTGGTTCTGGAGGTGTGTAGCATAATTAGCATGCGCTTGAAGATGATTGTGAGAGCGTGTTCGGCAGACACGAGCAGTATGACCTCTACCATCACAGAGTTGGCAGTAGAGGTTGTTGTTGGTTGTTGCGCCTATGTTGCTGATTGTTACGCTAAGATTGATTACGATTTTGCTGATGTTGTGCATTGGATCGTCGATTACTGTTCTGGTTATTGTTGGAGCCCTGGTTATTATTGGAGCCCTGACGGGTAGGAGCGGTAGCAGTCCCTTGAGCAAAGTTGGCAGTAATGGGAACAAAGGTTGTCTCTTTGGCTTCCTCATGCTGAAGGAAAAGCTCCTGGGTCAAGGAGCTTTTCGTATAGTTCTTCATAGGGAATAGCTGAATCTCGAGCGGATAGCGGCTGAGATTTCTCGAAATTCAGACCCAAGACCAATGAGAATCTTGACAACCAATTCTTCATTGGAGATGGGGGAGCTAGCAGTGGCAAGTTCATCACAGAGAGAGCGAACTTGATGGAGATAGTCTGCAACAAGACGAGAGTCTTTGGAGAGACGGGCTAGACGGTCTCTAAGACTAAAGATACAAGTTTGAGATTTATTTGCATTAGCAGTATGCAAGGCATCCTGGGCAACTTTGGCATTTGGAGCAGAAGCGACTGTACTACCAATGGTCGCATCCACAGTTGCCAATATAACATTTTGTATAAGCTGATCTTGTTGAAACAAGAAAACATAGGCAGGATTGGATACTTCGAGATTGTTTTTAGAGATAGTTTTTGAAGGGATTGGGATCGATCCATCAAGATGACCAAAGAGGTTGTGTCCACGCATAAGCATGGACAACTGAGCCTTCCACAACGAAAAGTTATGGCTACCAGCAAGTTTGATGAGGAGTTGAGTAACCAGATTGAATTGGACAATAATTTTTGAACCGGAGATGTCGGCATTGACGACACTGGTATTTGGGGCCATTTTTGGCTGGAGGCGTGTGGGCTGGGAGGGAAAAAAGGATCAAGCTTGTTAAAGCAATAGAACTCTGAATACCATAAAGAGAAAGAGAAGAACTAGACGCAGATGAACTTGTGTTTATTGATTATTGTATTGGCCTTTTATATAGCCAGTGTATTACATACAAGGCTGAAGAATAAAATAACAACTTAGAGAAACCTACGTAATTACACTTCTAAATATAAAAAGGCTGATAAGCAAAATAAAAAGAGTCTTATAAGTGAGAAGATTCCTATAGGTAACAAGAGTCTTAAATGCTAGCCGTTATTACAAGCTAGCAAAGACAAAAAGTTTCAACTAAAACAACGAATTCAGAGTAATAAGATGAGTGCAAAAAACATGGATGAATATATGAAAGAATTTAAAGGAATTTGTGATAGCCTCACAGCCATACACAAAATCTTAGATAAAGATACCAAAGTTATAAACTTTGCGAAGGGTCTTGGAAACAAATACAAGACTTTGAGGACCGTCATGTTGAGTAAGCCTCCATATCCAACCTTTCCTTAGTTTGTTAACGCACTAAGAGGATTCGACATGCGAGAAGAAGATAGTGACACCGATAATGTCGAAAGCCCAAAAAACCCAAGGAAGTTTTGGTAGAGGTCGAGGATATAACTCTTATAGAGGATGAGGACAAGGTCGAGAAAGAGGTCATCAAGGACCTATGCCCAATAACTACACAACTGGGAGACAATCTGGTTTCACTACAAATAATTAAAAGAGCACTCCACCACAAGCAAACACATGCCAAATTTGTGGACTAAACAATCACACAACTGTCACTTGTTTCTATAGGTGGGACTATTTTTATCAATCCCAATAAGAAACACCACAAGGTTTTTCAGCCTTAACTATCAATGAGCCATCTGACAACAATTTGTATATAGATTCTGGAGCAACTCATTATATGTTAATACAACAGGTACTTTAAAAAACCCTACTTTAGTCAAAGGCACAAATTCTATTATGGTAGGTGATGGAAAATGACTTAAAATTACTTATATTGGGAATAATAATCTAGGTACATGTTTGCAATTGAAGAATGTTCTAGTTGTACCGAAATTAAAGAAAAATTGTTTGTCTGTAAGTAGACTTGCAAGTGAACATGAATGTCTTTTGGAATTTTCTGACTCTGAGTTTGTTGTTAAGGACAAGAAAACAAGGAGGACACCCACAAAGGGGAGTAAAAAAGGAGAACTGTATGCTTTGGATCCCACTGTGTAGATGAAGAAGTGCATCAAACTCTAGTTGTTGTACGTTCGAATAAAGCATCTGATGAAGTCTGACATTAATGATTGGGACACCCTAATTTTAGGACTATGTAGTTTTTACATTCTAATAGATTAGTTAGAATTAGTAGTTGGAATAAAAAAAATTCTATTTGCACTGCGTGTCAAATGGGAAAAAGTTGTAAGCAACCTTTTGAGAATTCAAATAAAGTTGAGGTTGAACCTCTTATCAAAATTCATTGGGATTTATGAGGTCCTTCAATTGTCACTTCTCCTCAAGGTATCAAATACTACGTGATTTTTGTAGATGATCACACAAAATACACTTGGTTTTACCCATTGAAAAGAAAGTCAGATTTTTTCTCCACCTTTGTTAACTTTCAACGATTGGTAGAAAATCAATTTGATAGGAAAATAAAAGTATTCCAAAGTGATGGAGGTGGAGAGTTTAGTAGTCAGAAGTTTATTGATCTTCTTGCTCAATGTGGAATTCAAAGACATGTATCATGTCCACACACACCTGAGCAAAATGGAGTTGCCGAAAGAAAACACAAACACTTAGTTGAGACATGTTTAACCTTATTGTTCAATGCTAGTGTCTCTTTGCACTTATGGGTTGAAGCATTTATGACAATAAACATATCTTATCAACAAACTCCCTACGCCGGTCTTGAAAATGTAGTCTCCTATTCAGAAGTTACACAAAAAAAACCAGATTACACTGGTTTGAAGATCTTTGGTTGTAGGTGCTTTCCACATCTAAAGGGATACAACAAAAATAAATTTCAGCCCAAGAATTTTCCCTGTGTATTTATTGGATATAGTTCTCTACATAAGGGCTTTAGATGCTATCATCTACAAACAAAAAGAGTTTATATATCATGACATGTAATATTTGATAAAACATGGCTACCCTTCTCTTGTAATTCTACACAGGATGTGGCCAACAACTGTTACACTTTGTGCACTTACAAAGACTTCATAATTGAACCAAAGGGCACTTCAGGAGACGAGGAAAGACATAAAAATACAAATTGATAAAATACAAGTTGTGCCTACTCCAAAAGCTACTCAAGACGCTATTGTTGATGAAAATTATCAGAACATAATAGAGCCTCTCTCATCTGGTGAACCAAATGCCACCACTGTCGACATTGCCTAGATGAGGTCCCCGACAAAAAACTCACATACTGAAATACTACAGTCTCCGAAAATCAGCTCTTCAACTGCAATTCCAGAAAATAGTCCATAAGCCTCATCGTCTGCATGTTTGCCTCTTGGTGAGTCCGCATGTATTAACTTATGTGTTGATCTCAGTGGCTACCAGTGTCCTCCAACTATATCACCACCCTCTCCAGATAACACACATCACATGGTGACAAGGAAAAAATCAAAAGCCATGTTACAACCACCAAATTTTCTAACACTTCTGGCTACCACCTCTTCTCCTAACAGAGAACCCAAGAACCTAAGGGAAGCTTTATCTCAACATCATTGGCTGCAAGTTATGAGAGAAGATATGCATGCCCTATATCATAATAACACCCGAAGACTTGTACATGAGTACATCGGGAACCTCAAATAAATGTAGTTGGATCAAGGTGGGTGTTCAAGACAAAATTGAAGACAGATGGTACACTTGAGAGATATACAACTCGCTTGGTAGCGAAAGGATATAATCAAATTGAAGGCACAGACTTTGAAGATACACTTAGTCCAGTGGTGAAGGCAACAATGATTCACACAGTTTTAACTATAGCCATGGTACAAAAATGGCCTATTCACCAACTCGATGTCAAAAATGCCTTCCTATATGGAAAACTCAAAGAGACTGTCTATATGCAGCAACCTCCGGGTTTTGAAGATGCTAATTTCCCAAAATGTTTGTCTACTGGAAAAGGCCATCTACGGGCTAAAGCAAGCACCAAAGGCTTGGTTCCAAAGGTTTAGTGAAACTCTTCTTCACCTAGGCTTCCTTAGAAGCCATACTGATTCGTCTTTGTTTGTTCATCGACACAAGGGTGACATTGTGATTTTGCTGCTCTATGTCGATGATATCATGATAACTGGGAACAATATCATGATTTTGCAGACCATCATCTGTCAATTGAGTACTCACTTTGCTCTAAAAGATATGGGCAGTCTCCATTTTTTCTTAGGAATTGAAGTTGTGCCTTATACATATGGAATCTATCTTAGTCAAGTGAAATATGCAAATGATATTATCAAACAGACCATGATGCACTGTGCTAGAGCAATCAATACGTCGTTGTCGTAGAAAAGTGATTTTCATATCCCAACTTGATCTCCTGTTGATGCCTTTGATTATCGGAGTATAGTTGGAGGGCTTTAATATCTTACACTGACACGTCCTAATCTTACTCATGTTGTCAATCAAGTGTGTCAATTTGTGCAAGCTCCTACAACTATTCATTGGCAAGGAGTAAAACGTATTCTTCGGTACCTCACAGGGACTATAAACTTTGGACTTCGCATCACTTCTCCATCCTCCTTACAACTTGTTGGCTTCTCAGATGCCGATTGGGAAGGCTATTCAATCACTCGTCGATCAACAATAGGACTTTGTGTGTTCTTAGGAGCTAATTGTATCTCCTGGTCATCTAAGAAATAATATACTGTATCAAAATCTAGTGCTGAAGCTGAGTATCGTGCCCTATCTTCTCTAGAAGGGGAGATCACATGGATTCTTCATCTCTTGCAACACCTTGGCGTATCACTGTTATCTCCTCCCATCCTTTATTCCGACAATATCAGTTCTTTGCACCTCACTAGTAATCCTATTCTCCATGTGTGCACAAAGCATGTTGAACTAGATTATCATTTTGTACGAGAAAAAGTTACAACTGGTGCAATGATCACTAAATATGTTCCATGTGCGACTCAAGTGGCTGAAATTTTCACGAAGGCCTTGCCGAAGCAGCAGTTTCAGTTTTTACCAACGTCCAGCTAGAGGGGGAATGAAAGTGAGTTCGACAAGGAGTAGGAGTCCATACAAGAGTCTTGTATAATAACTATAGGAGTCCTATGTTTAGTATAATACAAATAGCTTTCTCGTCTATAAATATGGCTATCCAGCCGTGTATATGCAAGAATAATAATACAATATTCAACCTTCTTTGTTGAGCCTACGTTTGCTAATATTCTTCAGGTAGAACATATTGTTTGTTTTACTTTAACAATTTTATACATTGGTTTATGATTATACTAACAATTCTTCGTTTTAGAAAAAAATTGAAGAATAAAGAAGTAATTTTTCATGTTTATTTTCTATGTATTAATTATGTGGAACTTATTAATATTTATAATTACTAGAGGTGAGAAAACACTCTAAGTCTTATTTTGACTAAATTTGCTTCTATAATTCTTGATTTTTTTAAAGGCTCACGGCTGAGTTCTATTAGTTTTGACTTATATGATATCAATTGAAGGTTATGACAATGGATTTAAGTCCCATTGCATCAAAAGGGTAAGCCATCAGGTTAAAGTCCAGATGCACATAATGAAAAATGTTTGAAGATAAGATGGTAAATTCAAGTTCTATCGCACCAAGAGGGTAAGACATCAATTTGCGTTTTGATGCACCATGATGATAAGACAGTGAGTTTGAGTCTCAATGCACCATAGTGATGATAAAATGATAACTAAGGCAAAAATAATATATTTTTTGATGAAAAATCTTGAAATTCGTCCCATTGAATTTGCTCCATACCC